GAACGACTTTGTCCCGAAACCCTAACAATTCCGGGCTCCAGCTATAGGCGGTGGGCTTCAGTAAGAAACAATTCCGTCCGCATCAAAGCAAAGTTCAGAGCTCTGTTTCCTGGTCGTCGTGGTTGGAATGTTGGATATCAGCTTTACTGACGAATAATCTCCATTGCTCGTGCCCTTGCGTCCGTCTGCATCTGACTGCTACGGATTGGAATTTGGAAGAATCATGAAGCTTTCTTCCTTGCATTGCAGGGCAGTAGGGCATGCGAGAATCGTGATATGATGCTTCACTGACGCGGTCGATATGGTTTCAGGTCGGTCTGGTGGTTGGCATCTCTTTGTTGACTGTTGAACATTTGTGGAAAATATCAGGTTGGTTAACGCCAGAGTTCAGGTTCTTCGTAGTACAAATGTACAATCGACAGTACAAAAGCAATTCAGTACTAAAAAACTTGCAAAAAAATACCAATCATAGTGAGGTTACTCGACTGTCCAAGAATATGCAAGCACTTGTAATGGCCACAGCCTAACTTTGGACTATGCAAAGGTCCACGTTTACTGACAAGTAATGCTTGTCAACTTCAACTACGAATACCTGCAGGCACCTGGTACGCTAATTTAATAAAGTAATCACACGAAGACTATAGTACACGATCGTCCAAATTGAAGTAGTAGTACAATGTACTATACCATTATACTCCCTCCGTCCCAAAATATAACAACTTTTAACTCTCAAGATTTATCCAAAAATATAACTTTTTCACCAACATTCTCTTCTCAACCAATCACAACCCTCCACCATTCACTTTTTCCATCTTAACCAATCACAACCCTACATCAATCACTTATATCTACTTTCTTAATAACCATGTTCAACTTTAAAAATGGTTATATTCTGGGACGGAGGTAGTACCTCTGATTACTCCTTGCAGTACATTCTGTACTGCAGCAGCCTTCTCAAAACTTCAGAGAATGGCATTGTGCTCAACGGAAAGTGACCCAACTAAGCACCTAACACCACCAGGAAAAATTCCAGGCCATGAAATGTGCTCTGCTTTCCTCACGCCTGCATGGCTGCTGCCCACGCAAAAGAACAACGTGTGGAAAGGGAGAAATTCTCGTGGGCATTGCTTGAAGTATACTATCCATGAAAGTTACTAGGGCCACAGCCTATTGGTGAAGTGGTGCATGTACGACCTGAGATTTGCGAATGATGTTGCCTGGTACTTCTGCATCAGAAACCACCAGAAGCTAGTAGATTGTTTAAATTAGTCCATCAGGTGTTCGAAAAGGCTAAGCTTTCGTTTTTTTTTAATTGATCCATCACCAAAGGCATACATTTTGCTTTTAGCATTCAGAGCATGATACGCAAAATAGAATGGCAGAGCTTTAATTTGTGCTCCAAATCTTCGACAAGGTCAGAGCTTTTGATTGTTTAATCCGTGATGATCAAAGAAGAAGGTGCTGCAGTCGATGCAATCAGCATTGTTCTCCTTTTGCTTGTCGCCGGATATTGGATAGTGTAGGTACTTTTGATTATATAAAGAAAGGAAAGAACATTGAGCACCTATAAAATTCAGGAATAAATTCACTTCGTGACCCTCAAAGGTGATCGAAATCTAATCCGTGACTCTAAACCACAAAACCGGTTATCTCGACCCCCAACTCTTAAAACCGGTGCAATTTGACTCCCTCGACGGTTTTGGAGGGCGGTTTCACCAACATGACGCCTACGTGGCAGTATTAACTCGGTCTTCTTTCCACATGGTGTTGGCGTGGCGCTTAGGTAGCATTAGAAATAAAAAATTCGTGTGGGACCCATTTGTTACTCACACACAAATATATTGTGGGACCCACTGTGGGGCCCACATGTCATCCTCTCTCTACCTTCTTCATCCTCCCCTATCTCTCTTTCCCTCCGCGAGCATGGGATAGGGCCACTGGCGGCGGCGGCGGTGGGCGAGAGGGCGGGCGGGCGACGGCCGGAGAAGGGGCCAGATCTTCGGCGGCAGCGGACAGAGGCCGGAGCAGCGGTGGCCAGCGCCTACTCCAACCCCATCCACAACCTCCTCCGCCCTTCCCGCGGCGTCGTTGTCGGCGCCGGCGTTAGTGACCCCATCTCTCTCCCTCTCATTCCTTCTCCACATGGTACAGCGACGAGGAGCGGCCACGCCTACTCCCTCGAGCTCTGCTGCCGCCGCTCCGGCCCCTGTCAGCCGCCGTTGCCAAACCCGACCCCCGTCTGTCGCTACTGCTCCCGTGAAGAGAAAACGGGGGAGAAAGAGATGAGGGAGGGAGAGAGAGAGAGGGAGGAGGAAGATCTGGCCCCGCCGCCGTCGCCGCCCTAGTGTCGCCTGCCTGCCGCCGCCGCTTGCCCTAATGTGCCGGCCTCCCTCGACCGCCGCCGCTTGTGAAGGGAAGATAACACTTGAGAATGGAAGAGAGAGAGAGAAAGGATGGCATATGGGCCCTACATGTTAGTGGGTCCCACAATATATTTTTTATGAGAATGACAAATGAGTCCCACATACATTTTTTATTTCTAACGCCACCTAAGCGCCATATCAACGCCACGTGGAAAGAAGACCGAGTCAATACTGCCACGTAAGCGCCACATCAGCGAAACCGCCTAGAGAGTCAAATTGCACCGGTTTTAAGAGTTAGGGGGTCGAGATATCCGGTTTTGTGGTTTAGGATCACGGATTAAATTTTGATCACTTTTGAGGGTCACGAAGTGAACTTATTCCTAAAATTCATATTCTCACTAGCTTGGGCTAATGCGCTAGGTCGATGCTTACAATTTCATAAAGGGAGTACCTGTACATCTTTCGAAAGATTTTTATGATCGTATCACACAGTTTTTTAATCTTTGGATTAAAATCCGATAGACACAGTAAAAGGCAAAAAGCAACTAAGAAACACCATAATGGACACTAAATTACCATATCTTCAAGAAAAAAACCAAATCCAATATAAATTTTAAAACTTACATGCGAAGATTCAAAAATTACACTGTAACTTATAAAAGTTACAATGTAAGTTTCATAAATTACACTGTAACTTACAAGAAAATGCACTGTAAATTTAAGTGAGAAAATCGAGTGAGAGATTAGAAAAAAATCTTTCGAGTGAGATATAGCAAAATCGAGGTAGTAAGGGCTGAGCTTGACTACTCTGATCATGTAACGTCCCACTTTTTGCAAAACGTTAAAAACCTAAATTAATAAAAACCAATTGAAGTCGTACTATGGATCTCAATTCAAATATCTCCTTATTCCCTCTCGTCGATATAAAAAATCAACACCCCAGCATTTCATGTTCCGAATCAAGTCTCAAAAAGTCAAATTCCGAAATTCGATCCTCCCTCGTAATTCTTGCCAAATATTCCTCCCAATTCTAAGAATGTCACATTTCTCACTTTGACTTCTTTTGTTGAATCCTTTATATTTTTGGGTTCACATATCAAACTTGAAACACATCCCAATTCAATTCCAACATCAAATCCTTCTCCCTCAAAACCCTACAGAAAGTCTAGTTCCCCTCCTTCCTCTTTGGGCTGTTTCTTCTTGGCCGGCCCAACCCACTCCTTCCTCTCCCCGCCTGGGCCATGCGCCACTCCTCTCGGTCCAGCCAAGCAGCAGCCCACCTCACCCTTGCACGCATGCGCACGTGCCGTGGGGGAGCGCCGTCTCGCCGCCTTGCTCTCTCCTTTTGTCGCCGCATGTGGTGTTGGGTGTTAGTTCGTTGGTTTTCGCCGCCTCAGCTTCTGCTATTGCTGTTGCTGCTTCATGTCATCTGCTGCATTCTCTGGTTTGCCCAAGAGTTGCAACTTAAGTTAACGTAAATAAGTTCTCTATTTTATTTAATTTAAAGAATGCGATGATTTATAATTGTTACTGTGGATACCAACGCTTTATCCTGGGACTGTGTAACATACCGAAAATTAACCATTTTCTAATCTTGCATCATGCCACTTTTTATGTTCTTAATAATTTTATAAACCTAGGAAAATATAATTAGAGGGACCTTCTAAAACTAACTTGCATAAAATCCTTCTCTGGTATTTAATTTCTTTTGTGTTTTTCATTTAAAAATATATTTGGCTAAATTGAGGTATTTCTTGATTTGGTTTTAATTTAAAACCTTTTTTCAACTAAAATTCTTTTATTCAAATTTAGTTTGAAAACCCTTTCTATTTTTATGAATTATGGTCCAAGAAATTCCCCACTATTGCCCTAGAACCTAAACCAAGTAATTCCGATTTTAATTGGAATTAATTGTGGACCCATCCTTTGATTATAAACCTATCCTAATTCCCTTTCCAAATTTCAAATTTCTATTTTGATCTAGACTCCCATTCCAGTTCCTATAATCTAAGACTTCTCGGCACAAGAATAGATATATTATAAATATTAGAATGATTGCTCTTGTGCTAAGAAGAATATATTTCCCTCTTCCAAATTAATTCCCTATTTAACCACAAATAATTCTCCTATCCAAATCTCTTCCAAATTTAAAGTCTAACCATCCAAATCCCATTCAAAATGTAGAAAAACATTTATTTTCAGTTTGGGCCAAAGTCCTTCACTTTCTCCCTTGGCCCATCTCCTTTTACCCTTCCTTGTTGTGCCAGCCCAACTTTGGCACGCGGCCCAGTCGGCCCAACCAAACTCCAGCCGTGCCGCTCCTCTCTTCTCCCTGTTCGGTGGGCGCCGCCGCCGCTATCACGCGCCGCCACCACCGCCGTGCACGGCTCTGCTTGCAGCTCTGCCGACCGCCAACGTCCTGCCGTCGCCGCTAAGGCATCGCCGCCGACGTCATCTGCCACCTCACGCCGCCGACGTCAGCCTTTGGAGCAAACCGCCATCTCCAACCAATCACAAGCCACAGCCGGCGCCGTCGTCTTCCTTCTCACGTCGCCGCCACCAAGACCAACTCCATCTTCTCCTCTACAACCGACCTTCAAAACCGACGTCCGACGCCTATAAATAGAAGGCCAGCCCTCCCCTTTTCTCCACATATGAGCCGAGCTCCTCGAGCTCTCTCTCTCCTGTTATGTCTAGCCACCACCGGCCACCGTCGATATCCCTTACCGGAGCGTTGTTGGCCAAGCCCTTGCGCCATCGGGTTTGCCTAGACGAGGCGAATCCATTTCACCCCTTTCCCCTTTCCCTTCCCCTTTGAAACAAACCATCACAGCCACTTCCTCTTGTTGCCGGAGCAAGCTATTGCCGTCGCCGTTCCGGTCTCCTCCCTAAGACCCTAACCCTCTCTACCGGAAACCACCCTCCCCGGGTGCGCGTCGCTCGGGAACATGTTTTGCCGCCGACGTCGCAGCCTCTCAACCACCAGAGTACCGGCGCCCCTCCTCTCCCTCCTCTCAACTCACTCGGCAACAGAAAAGAGGAAGAGAACGGGAGGAAGAAGAAGGAAGAAGAAAGAGAGAAGAAAAGGAAAAGGAAAACTGACAGGTGGGCCCCTACAGTACTATTTCACATTTTCTAGATTTGATTCAAAATCCAAACTTTAGAAGCCCATATCTCCTGAACCGTAGATCCGATTCCGATGAAACTTGGACCTAAATTCATCTAAATTCAAAAGATATATTTTGATACCCAATTGTATTTTATAATTTTATTTGAATTTATTCAAATATTGTTTGAATTTATATTTGCCTTTTTAAATATTTTCTTCCGTCCCAAATTACCCTTTAGCCATTAAAAAGCCGCCGGTTGAAACTTTACGCCTTCCATGGGGACGTTCGCGGTCTACTAGCCCCGACGTCGAACCGTTGGTTGTAAAGCCCGGCAAAACCCAAACCCAAGGTCGAAGTGCTGCTCCTGGCACCTTACACCTCGACGCGTATAACGGTCGGAGCTTCACTATTCCCACGACCTCCACAGCACGTCACACAATTAGCTCTCGGGCTCTGTGTGATCTTAGCTGCTCCGCCGCCACTCACGGTTGTCGGAGTAACACTTTCGCCCCACTGAATTAACCTGCACCCACCTCCTAGCCGTTATACTGTCCATCGACACCGGCTAGAGAAGACACCAAATCTAATCGTTATGCTGTTCAACACTAGCATCGACTAGCACACAACCAAATCCTAGCTGACACCTTACTAGATAAATCCCACCCGTCATCCAAATTCCACACCCACCAGTATCGCCTATCCATCCTACTCTCAGCCACCTACTCTCTAACTACCTAGAACCTATATATAAAATATAGAGCTAGCCGATATATTGCCCTATCCCCAATCGGCCTAAATATAACCAAATCCTAGGTATTATACTACCTAAACCTGCCACCAGCCATTATTAGCCACATACTCACTTAACCAGTTATTTCTCTTACTCTCCAAACAACCAAAGCCCACTCATGAAATATAAGCGACATTAGTTGCTTGATCCCCTCTCCACCTTAGCCTCCAACCCTCTAAAACCTCCACATAAAATATTAGCCAATAATCCCTATACCTTATAAAGGAGATATTTATACCCCAAACCCAGCCTTTCTTGCCCTTCATCGCTTTCTTATTATTTTGTGATTTTTATTGAATTTGGTTCTTTCTCTTCTTTAGTAGAGTCTATTTTGGATGGCAGCCTGTGATATTTCAAGGATCGGATAATCAGGTTGCCTATCTTGGATTTATTTGCGTTGGAGCAAGGCAAGTTATTATTCCTCCCCTTTGAGCATAATAATCCTATATTCTATATCTCCGGTATCTTATGCATTAGCCATACATGATTTCGAATGCATAACCTGAATATATAGCAAACCAGATATATGCTAGATTTTGCTTAGCCATGCCTAGTTAGATTGCATAAAATATAATAAACTTAGATTGGAACAATACGGTAGAAATGGTTGATTTCCGGGTGGCTAGTACTGTTCCAACCGACATAAAATTGCCAAGTACATGTGAAGAACATACGAGTACGACCGCAATTCTCGTATGGGCATAGACCTAGCTGATTAAGTTATCTAGAAAAGGTGGTACCTCTGTATAGTGGTTCTTCTTAAGTCCTCGCGCAGGAGGCAAACTTACGCCGAGCAGGGCGATTGTAATATTTACCGAGGTGCATGTAAATATTTGAGATAAATTGTGATATCACAAACTGTGTGTGTATTGTGAATACCTTGGTATAAACATGGTTGAATCAAATGGTCACAAGTGTTGATCTCGACTCAAGCTTGACCCCAAGTTGGATGCGCAAGGCAAATGTATAATGGAGCTAAGAATGTTTTCTTAGTCTTTTCCCGGTCTTGGTGTTTGGTGTAGACCGGATTTGCTAGATAGGCGCCGTACTATCAAGAGGGGTCTATGAAGCGAGCTTGTGGATGATCTTGTGCCATATTAGTTCATATGCATGTAGGTGTATTTGGTGGGCTTGTCTAGCCAAGTATGGTGAGTTTTCTCAAGTCCTAAACAAAGAGAGATGTGGGCAAATCCTATAGGTTTGGGTAGCCTCATGTGGTTATGTCCGGTGGAGTATCCTTTGGAGTGTGAGCCCTTTCTCCCAGAGAAAAGTTGTGTTTCTTGGATGGATTGTTCATGGGTTGGATAGCCCTTTGAATAAGCTTTCCATAGAGTCCAAGAACGCCAAATTCCGAGACCCGAGTCAAGAGATATCGCCGTTTTATTAACGGTCGGTTGAGCTGAAAAGTGACCTGCGGTCTGACCGTGGGCCTTAGGCCGGTCTGACCAGGCCTGTTAGCCGGTCTGACCGGCGTGGTAAAGCCGGTCTGACCGGCCCACTGGTCTGTTGCACTGGTTTGGTTTTTGGTGGCGATACAAAGCCGCCAGAGCCGCAACCGGTCAGACCGAGCCGACGGCGGTCTGACCGAGCCGTTGACGGTCTGACCGGCCACTACACTGCGGTCAGACCGACCAGGTTGAGTGGGCTCAATGATTGCCCTGTAACGGCTAGCTTTCTAGCCGTTACAAAGTAGTCCGGTCTGACCGGCCTCACAACGGCGGTCTGACCGGCAGGGCACAGAGTTGGGGATTTCGGTTCCAACGACTAGTTTTGGTGGTTGGGGGTATATATACCCACTCCCCAGCAGCAAGGGTAAGGTTTTGGCACTCCATTGCATTATCTTGAACCCTTGCAAGAGCTCTCACACCCTTGTGCACTTTGTTTATCTAGTGAGGTGTTAGAGAGTGAGTTAAGCCAATCCAAGTGCATTGCTTCATTGTTATAGCTAGTGTGACACTTGATCATCCTCGGCAAGCATCCTAGACTTGTTACTCTTGGAGGTTGCCGCCTCCTAGACGGCTTGTATAGGTGTTGCTCGGTGACCTCTCCGAGGAGATTGTGGAGGAGGCCCGGTGCCGTTTGTGAGTGGTTTGGAGTTCACCACCTTCGGAGTGAAGGAAGAACTACCCCGAGTGATCGAGGCTTGGGTAGTCCTCTCCGTGGGCCGGCTCCCGCCTTGCCCACCCCTTGACGAAGGGGGCGTGCGGTGGTTTCGTGGTTGAGCGGTGGAGTTGGGCTCGCCTCAACGGGGATTAGGAAACTGGCGAGTTTCCGAACCTCGGTGAAAAATTCCTTGTCTGTTGTCTCATTTATTTGTTGCATTTACATTTGTGCTATTTACATTCATAGAGACATATTTGAGCCCATATCACCTAGGTTTGCAAAACTTAACTTAGTTGCTTAGTTAACCCTTGCACCTTACCTTGCCTAGCAACTTAGGTTAGTTTTGTTTAAGTGCCATTAAGTTTTAAAACCGCCTATTCACCCCCCCTCTAGTCGGCCTCCTTGATCCTACAAGTTGTATCAGAGCTTGGTCTCTCATTTTGTGGACTTAACTATTCCGAGAGAAAAGGATGGCTTCTAGAGATATAGTACACACGGGTGGTGACCCTCCTATGTTTGATGGCACAAATTATGCACAATGGAAAATCCACATGATTTCTTATTTTACGGCCATGAGCCCAAAAATATGGTGGATTGTAGATGTGGGCTTTTCTCATGCTTTGGATGACCATGCTCCAACAAGTGGGCAAGATAAATGCCTACATCTCGATGCTCAAGCTACTAATGCTTTATTTTGTGGTTTGAGTGATGACATGTTTAATGAAGTATGCAATCTCAAGAGTGCACATGCTATGTGGGTAAAGCTTAAAGAAAAATATGAAGTGCCCACACTTGTTGAGAATGGTTGCACACAAGAATCGATGTCGGGTGAAGACTCCACCTCCTCAAGTGATGATGAGGAGCTCCCAATACCATCCACATCACCTCATTGCTTAATGACAAATTGTAAGAATGAGGTAAAGAATGATTCTCTCGATAGTATTATTGAAAATACTTGTGTTGTTGATGATGGTGGTGATGATGATGAACCTTCATATGATGATCTTTTTAACATTCTTAGGGAGGCTAGTAAATACATTGCCAAAGAGAAGAAGAAAAAATCAAATTTTAGAGAAAACTCTTCTCTCTTTGAAAGACTCAAATGTGGAGCTAATAAATTCTTATAAGGAACTTTGTGATTCTTATAAGAAGATAAAAGAAGCTTATGAGTCTCTTCTCATTGGAAATGCATTTAGTAAGCCAAAGGTGGACATAGGCATCACATGTAATTTAATTGATGATGATATGCCATGTGTAGCTAGCTCATGTAGTACATCTAAGGCTAGTGTGTCCACCTCTTGTGATGACTTGTTAGATGTACCTTGTAGCTCAAGCATAGATGAAAATTCTTGTTCTTCCTCCTCTATGTATATTGTTGCTAACCTTGTAGAGGAAAACAAGCAATTACAAGCCCAAGTCAAAGATTTAAAAGAAGACTTGGATAGAAGCTACAAAGGGAAGAACACACTTGACGAAATCCTAAGCAAGCAAAAGAGCACAAATGACAAGTGTGGACTTGGCTTTCATCGCAAGGAGAATGCTAAGAAGACAAGACACATGCCTAGATATGCAAGGAAGCATGCATACTTAAGAAATGATGGAAAGAAAAATGTGAGTAAGAACCATCCTCACATTACATGTTTTGGTTGTCATGAGAAGGGACACTTTGCCTCCGTGTGCGCAAACATGAAGGATGAGAAGTGCAACTTCAAATTGAGGCAAACCGGCAAGAAGCAAGACAAAACGACAAGTCATAGAGGTCAAAACCTAACTTGCTACAATTGCCGCAAAAAGGGACATATTGGTAAAAATTGTCCCATAGGTAATACTCCTAAGCCTAATATTATTTTTGATGATTATGTGCTTAGGAAAAATAGGCAAGGCAATGTGTTTGCTAGATATGTTGGTTTACCTAGACTTGCACCTAGAAGGAGGACCATTTGGGTGCCTCGTATTTTGGTAACTAACATTGATGGACCCAATTTTGTTGGGGACCAAAATGTGCCAAAATGAGAATATAGGTACATGAGAGGCATTGGAGTTTTGGCCTATGCGAGAAAATGTGATTCTCACCAAGTTCAAGAATTGGAGCCAATAATGAGGATGGAGAATTCACATCAAGGACCAATGCCATCTCGGTAACATGCTTTTGGTTTGTAATTTTTTTATATAGCCTTGTGTATGTTGCATTGCATTTTCATAGTTCCAAAATTAAATTTCCTCTTCTTATGAACATCATCATAAATGCATGTTGAGCATAATGAGTAGTGGCATATGAAGCTATAGGCTTGATCATATTAATGCAACATATTTATCATCTTGTGCTTATTGTCAATCTTATTTGATCTTTATTGGATCTTGTGTTTATTTGCTCATCTTTGTTGGGTTGAAGGGAATATCGCATTAAGGGAAAGTATTGCATTTCTTACATATGCACTACAACCCTTAGAATGTGAACAAAGTAATCCAAGTGGTAGAAATGTTTTCAAAACGCCCATTTTGACCAAAAGTCAATTTTTTGAGAAAAACTATAATTCTTGAAAACTATTACTTGGAAAATATTTCAAAAGGCCTCTAATATGTTTTCCAAACTTTAGTTTGCAAGAAAAAGTATTTGCAAAGTAAAAATGCATTTTTGACTAAAATTCTAGTTTCTAGGATCTTGTTTTCGAGCAAAACTATTTTTCTCTCTACAGGGATATCTAAAGAGAATTTGAAATGGAGCCCAAAACAAGTTAGATAGAGTTGGTTATTTCAAATGTTTTTGGTTTTTGAACCTTATCCAAAAGACCAACATATTAAAAGAAATTTGATGTCAAAACTCACCAAAAATTTTAACTAGACCATATATGGTCACTTTCTATCACTTTGGTGAGTTTATTTCTTAAATCTGAATAATTGTATCTTTTTGGCTCAAAATCATATTTGAACTTCATGCATATTAGTTTCTCTCAAATATCATCTCATTTGCTTCTTTTTGCACTTTTGGAGGAATGTATTTGAAAAGAGAGCTTGTGTAGCCTTTTTCTCAAACTTGGCCTTTAGTATCAAACCTTGAATTCATGAAGCAAAAAAGGAGAGTTGCATCAAGGGGGAGCAATCTGAATCAAACCCATATTCCCTTTGCTCCCAAACATGAATTTTCCAAAAGGTTGCATCCATACCCTTTCAAAAGAGCCTATTTTAGACAAAAGTCAAAAATCTTATTTAAATGGCCCATATATGTGAAAATCCTTTCAAATGTATCCCAATTTGTATTTCAAATGTTTTTCAAGGCTTTTGGAGTCAAAATTTCCATTTGTCAAACAAAATAGCAAAATTGGTCTCAATAGGATCTTTTAGGGTCTTGTTTTGGTTGAAAATATTTTATTTCTCTAAATCAAAATCTATTGAGTTTTTTGGAAAAGCTTTCCATACAAAACTTTTAGAGTTGGTCGTTTCAAACATTTATCTAGTTCAATGTTTTTCCAAAATACCAACCATTCAAACTCTACAACCATTTGAATTTCAGCAAAAATCTTGACTTGACCATTTTCGGCCTAAACTTGCTTATGGCGTGTTAAGCCTTTAGAGCCAAATTTCTTTGTGAATCTTGGCTTGAAAGTGTATCTATAATCCTCCTAAGGCTTTACAAATGTCAAACTCCATCGATTTCAAATTTGAATGTGATTTGAGCTCTCAACTCAAATTTACTCACCCTAAAGGCCTACAATGCTCCTTTTGTCTTATCTTTTGATAGAAAAATGATTTTTAAGAAATTCTTTTTGGAAAAGTTCCTCACAAGTATAAAGATCAAATCTGCAAGGTTTCAACTCATTTCGATTTGATTTGCAAAGATTTTGACTTTTTCTCGTTTTGCTCAGCTTGCTGAAATTTTCAGAACAACCATGTTTTTGGGCTGATTTGTGATTTTTGTATCTCCAAATGGGTTGCAAATTTGAAGAAGATCACAATATGGCTTTTGATCCTCAATAGTTGAAGTTTACTTACAAATTTACTCAGAATTTTAGCTGGTCATTTGGATGCCTTTTCAACCTCATTTTCAGTCTCCAAAAATCTGAAAAAGTCTGAAATTTTGAGTTGGCTGAAAGCTTGTGAGATTTGTTTCTTCAATTCGGTTGAGATCTGGGAAAGGACCCCAAAATGAAATTTTTGTATTTTTACATGAACTATCTCCAGGATTTATGGCATATTTTTCCGAGCTTAGTTACACAGGTTTCTATTGCTAAAAGACGTCGCCATTGCTATGTGCCTTTTCAGCTAAACATGGATTTCAAAGTTCATGTCACTTCTTGTTGATTATTTGAGCATGGTGGTGAAATATAAGATGTTTCAAATAATGAGATCTTTGTTATTTTGAAAACTTCATGAATCCTTGAGCTATGTTGGATATGTTCCTTATTTGAACTCTTTTGGTTTTTGAAATGCCCATGATACATGAAACCACCTAAACTCAAAAGTTTTTTTTTTTGGACTTCTCAAAACCAAGCCTTCATGGATAGACTCCAAATTCCAATCTTTGCCACCAAATACAAGTTGATCCTTGCTACCAAAGCCAACTACCATTCCTTGATCCCAAATTCGAATTCCTATACACAAGTGGTCTCTCAACAAATGGTAGTATCCCTTGATCATCTTGAACCCAACACTAGCTCATCATTGTCATTACTTGCCGATATCATGCACTTGAGTAAAATTCTTCCAAATAGCCTTGACCAAGCTCTTCTCAATTTTTGACATTCTTGAAAAAAACCTTTGATGAGAATATCTCAAGTGAAAGTTCAAGTGCTCAAACTCACCCCTTCTACATATGAAACATATTCCAAATTCTCTATCCAAAGAAAAGACTCTATGAGTAAGGGGGAGTTTTACTAAAAGAGATATATATATATATATATATATATATATATATATATATATATATATATATATATATATTTGGCCTTGTGAGTCTTTATTCCTTTTTGGGATTTTGTAATTGCCTATTTTCTAGCCCTTTTTCATTTTTTGGTGATTAATGCCAAAAGGGAGAGAATATTTGTGATCTATTTGTGATCTCCTTATGATCATAGCTATAAAAGGGGGAAATATTCTAGGATCCCACATCATAGCATTACATATGCATCATATGCATCAGCATGTCATTGGCATATCAATATAATGTTGATTTATATCCTTCATATCCAAATGTGGTTATTATCAATGGATTTGTCATCAATCACCAAAAAGGGGGAGATTGTAAGTTCAAGTGCCTTAATTTGGTTTTGGTGATTAATGACAAATCTAATTATATGAGACTAACGTTTTTATGAGCCTTTCTTTGATTAGTCTCATTTGGATATGAAAATAAAAATGATGAGAGGTATGTATTAAACTTCACATATTCTAACTTGGTCTCTCTTGTGGATCCAAAATATAGTGTGAGCTCCCTCATTGATCTTGATTGATTATGTGCATATGTGTTCCTTTATATCCATATGTATGTACACTTGAGGGGAGCTTATTCTATATTTTGTTTATTATAAGATTTCTATCTTGATTTGAAATCATCTTTCATCTCATCTCTCTATATTGTTTATATCGAATTATTATCCATCACCAAAGAGAGAAAAGATTGAAAGATCTTGGATTAAACAATTTGTGTAATTGTTACTTTGGTGATAGATGATAAACCGATGTTTATAGGATTAACCTCTCTTTTGCATAAGTTGTCTACTAGGTTATTTCCCGATAATGAGATGTGGAAGACTTGCATTCTTTTGTACCATTAAGTTTTAAAACCGCCTATTCACCCCCCCTCTAGTCGGCCTCCTTGATCCTACACGGGGGTCTCTCAACCAGTTCTCTCCAAAAACCTCGGGAACGTCAGAACTCCTCTCGCTGCTGATAACGTTACATTCAGAGCGCATGGGGACTAGAGTTCATGGAACAGGTACCACTGATGTTAGTAACTAAAAAGCTTTGCCATGACAAGGCTAATGTGTTTGGCACGTCATGGATTGCGGGTAAAGCGTACATTTACTGCAGTAAAGTATAAATGAATCTATTCGAATAGCCGTGCTCACGGATTTGAGCATTGGGACTCATATGGTATTTGGTTAGAAACTTAATTCCAAACTTTATTAAATATTGTTGTATTTAAAACATTCTAGGCTTTCTTCCTCTATATTCTTTGCTTTCTGCAAGTAAACCTAGCTCTACTCAGATATTACCATTTCATGCATTCATTATTGAATATAATAGCTTGTTGAGTACGTTGTACTCACCCTTGCTTCAACCCCCCTTTTTCAGAGTCAATTTGATGTTCTTGCTGAAGCTGGGAGTTCAATCATATAAGTTAGTCTCATTCTAACTTAGTTCTCAAGTATAGATTAGATAGATGGTTTAAGTCTATAGCAAAACAGTAGAGTTGAGTCATTCTATGGCTTCTGTTGTAACAGTTAGCCACAATCTTGTAAATACCCTAATATTATTATGTAATAATATCTCCTTTGAAACCTTGACTAAATGTATGCAATGAAGAACCAGATTGTTGAACCTGTATCAATCTACTGATCCAGGGCTTGATACAGTTTTAATATGTCGGTTTCCGAATTATTAGTTTTGGGACCCGACAGACTGGTACCGATATCGTGGTCTCGTAGGAAGCGGTTCATGTTATTTTTCCTACGACACACTCATGTCAGGTGCCGTTGTATAGTGGTGCCGGATTAGGGTGTGACAGATCAGTACATTTGTAGTACTAGGCAAATTTTGCTAACTTCTATATCGTGATTTCGCGAATTTAGTTGCTAGACACAAAAAAAAGTTAATCTTTGAAAAAAATCACTCTCAAAATGTGGTTATTTGCTATACACCCTTCATTAGAATATTCATTCCTAGTTGAACAGGAGAGAAAAATAATAGAAACTATCATATCGGCATCCTCCCCTTTTCTCATCGTCTTTCTGCTTGCATCGTGTAGCTTCGTAGCAAGTCACCTAGGGCCAAGCGACCGACAGAGGTCTCTCATCCTCCGTCTCTCTCCCCAATGGCCCTAGCGACTGGCATGGACATCTTGCCTCCACCAATGGTGAAACTGCGAAAGGTAGAGGCGTGCGTACAGTGATGACAAAGGCAACGACGTCGAAGGATAGCATCGGTGGATCTCATGATGGCCACAGGTAAAAAACAGGGGTGTTGGATCCGTCATCCGCCCCGTGTACCACCGCTTCAGGATATGTTGTCACATGCCTCGGCAACGTCCTCTCCGCTGTCTCACCAAGCCAGGGATGGAGTCCAATGGGCTTAGGGGGGTTCACAGGCGCCCAGCCTAATTTTCAGATTTAGTACTTACCCCCTATTTTCACCACATGGGAACCCCTCGACCCAAATTCGTGCACCACCCCTGGCCCATGAGCAAGTCATGGAAGACCTGAGGCCCATGAAAATAGCGCCCCATCTGGGCCACCGGGAGCGAGAGCGACGCCTCGAGCGTTAATCACAGCCACGCCGGCACCGCACATCTCTTCGACTCCCGTTTTTCGCCTTTTGTCTTTCTTTTTCCCGCGATACGGCATCTGAGTGGCTGTGTGTCTGTTCGTCTTTGATCCAACGCAATCTCCTCTCACCACAGTTTGCCGAGTCGCCGTCTACTCCTGTCGCTCAACCGCTGGTCGCCGACTCACCATTGCTCGCCGTCCTAGCCTGCTGCTGGTCGCCCTAGCTGGCAGCCCGCAGCATTACGGCGGCACTGCGGCAGCGAGCAGCCAGACTACAGGGGCAGCCTGCAGCTAGCAGCGGAGCACTCAGCAGTGCACAAGCAAGAGACTAAAGAGAGGTATTATCTTCCTTTTAGTTTTTTTTTTTGAGAACATCTTCCTTTTAGTTAGTTCCAAACTTTCAATTTACCCTCTCTTCTAGTTCTAGTCTTATTTTAAATCCTATTAATTTGATTTGTAACTTGTTGATAGCACCCTTTCAATATCCAAATTTATATATAAGCTAGGGTTTAAAGTTTGAAGAACTGAAAGTTTCAATTGATTTCTGGAAGGGACAAGGACTCCTGCTGTCCTGCTGCCATCAGTCCATCAACCATCACTTAGTAAAATTGTAAGAATATTGCGACACATTTATTTTTATGTTTTTACATCTTCATTGTTGGATATAAATTTTTAGTTGAAAACTAAGATGTTTCTGACTTCTGTTCTGCTTTTATTGTAGGCTATTATGGATTACTTATCGATGATATTGAGATTGACAGCTTTGAGACCGGGGATGTATTTTATATAGATTGAACGTCTTTTATGTAATTTTTGATGTTTCCCTTCGCGGTTTCTTTTCGTCTTATATTTCAGTAAGCACTTTTACTTGCTACTCAACGATTTTTTTTATCAATAGTTATCTACAAATGAACAACTATCATTATTTAGAGTAAATGCCGCCATCTATACAGTAAAGTAGTGCACCACCCTTAATATGGTTCCAGCTCCGCCACTACACCAAGCCGCCAACACCGGATCTGCCGTCGCTCCATCCCCTTGACGTAAAATCGGTTGTCACTGAGCGCTCTGTGTCATGATATCGGAATATATAAAGGCTGGCGGAAGGGGCGCGCGATGGGGTGTGCCACGTACGCGTTTTGCTACAGTACGCGTGGTGGAAATTTACAAAAAAGCCCTCTGTTTTGTTCGTAATTCGTCCGGCGTCCCTCGCCAACCATCCTCTGAGCTGTAGGGGTGGGCATTCGGTCTAACCGAGAAATTCGGTTCGGTCTTTCGGTCTTTTTAAAATTTCAGTCATCAAAAACTCAAGACCGATCGGTCCCAAAAAAAATGAAGACCGAGCACTTCGGTCTTCGGTTAGTTCGGTTCGGTCTCGGTCATGACCGAACTAACCCGAGAGCAGAAGTCTCTGAACAAAAAAAATCACAAAAGCCAAACAACAAATGTATGGTTGACAAATCAAAAGGCAACTCAATAGATCAATAGAGAGATGATGCATCTGCTGATCTGCACATGCAACTAGGAAATCAAGCAGATTCAGAAAGACAAACTGAAAAGCAAATCGAGCTAGGCGGTGAAGGACGGTGTCGGCGCGGTGGACGACGGAGGCGGCGCCGGCGTGGTGAAGGCGGAGACGGCGCGAGGGAGGCGGAGGGCGGGCAGAGGTGGAGGCGACGCCGACGCGGTGGGCCGAGGGCGGACGGAGGCGGCGCCGGCGGCGACGCAGTGGGCCAGGGCGAACGGAGGCGGCGCCGGCCGCCGGCGCGGTGGAGACGGAGGCGGCGCAGGCGCGGTGGAGGCAGGCGGCGCGGTGCTAGAGCCCGGAGGCGCGGCGCGAGAGGGAGGAGTGGGGAGTGCGGCTGTGAGGGTGAGGGAGCCGAGCCGAGTGGGAGACTAGGAGTAGGGTTGGTGATTTAGGGTTTATTTTAGTGGGCTTAGTACTGGCCTACTGGGCCTCCTAGTCTATTGGGCTAGTTCGGTTATTTTGGGTAGGAATAAGTCCATTTTACCTCCCTCAATTCTTTCCCTTTGTCGAATTTCATCCCTCAACCATAAAACCGGGTATATTACCTCCTCCAAGTGTTAAAACCAGTACAAAACAACTCCCTCGTGGTTTTTGACAGTGGTTTTGCTGGCGTGGCATCCCAGTCATCAAAAAAATTAAAAAAATATGTGAGGGCCCACATGTAAGTGGCATTTCTATTCTTCCTCTCCTCCACCACTCTCCTCTCTCCTCCCTCTTCTCTCTCCCCGAACAGAGCACGGCCGGGGACGGCGGAGCCGGAGGCGTGGGAGGTGTGGGGACCGCCGGAGGATGCAGGAGCATGCCACAAGGGAGAGGATCGCCGGCCGCGGCGCCCACGCGGGGAGGGTTCACCTGTCACGGCGTCGATCTGCTCGGCCGGCAACACATCCTCCTGTTGTCTATCCGCGCCGCCAACCTCCAGCAAAATACATAAGCTCATCAAGCTACCTTTCGAATAGCATGTCATGTGCTGACTGTGGAGTGCAAAAGATTGAGCTGCCACCTAAACACTTGGAGGGGGATAAACCGGCGACCATCCATGGAGCAGCAGGAGTAACAACTGAAGATGATCATGATCCATCCCAACAAGTCGCCGGAGCAAGTGGTAGCCTCTTTCGAGCTTCGACACCACACGAGGAAAAAATCAGACATAAAAAACCCCATGAAGAACAACCCAACAGTAACAAAAGCATCCCCCCTCCATTAGCTGCATGTCCTTCCTGGAATTCTGTTTTTCTTCTCCAAAGAGACAACGTGAGATGCATGGATGAACAATTGGCGGTGCGCCTACTACTGCCCGGACTCCTCATCGGACTCGCCGTCGTCGCGCTCATCCTCCCGGTCCTCCTGCTGCTGCTGATGGTGTTGGTGATGGTGGTGCGGGTGCGGCAGTTGACCGGTGGCACCGGCGCCGCCGACCTGGTGGTAGAACTGGCTGAGCGACTGTGCGGCGAGCACGCCGATGTGGCCGTCCTATGAGAGTCCTAGCTCTAGCCCTGGCATGGTGCGACGGATGTCAGCGCCGACACCGGTATGGTCCCCGTCCCCGTGGCGGCGACGATTGCCGGCTCCGCCTGCTGGAGCAGCCACTGGACGGTATCGCCGTCAGACTTGTGGCTGAGCTCCCGCGTCAGCTGGAAGATCCGGGCGGCGCACAGTGCCGGCATTCGGATCCGCCGTCCCTGGCCGTCCACCTTGGTGTGTTGGGTCCTTGTTCGAGCTCCGCTTCGGTCCTAACCCCTGCATCCTCCTCTCCTCCACCGCCACCGCTACCACCTGCATCTACTGCTACTGACAGCGGATCCTCTCCCTCGCGGCGTGCACCCGCCGCATCCTCCGACGGTCCCCACACCTCACGCACCTCCGGCGCCTCCCCTGGCCGTGCTCTGTTCAGGGAGAGAGAAGGGGGAGGAGAGAGGAGAGTGGTGGAGAGGAAGAATAGAAATGCCACTTACGTGTGGGACCTCACGTATTTTTTAATTTTTTTAATGACTAGGATGCCACGTCAGCATCAAAAACCACCAAGGGAGTTGTTTTGTACTGGTTTTAACACTTGGGGAGGTGATATACCCGGTTTTGTGGTTGAGGGATGTAATTCGATAAAGGGCAAGAATTGAGGGACGCAAAATGGACTTATTCCTTTCGGGTATTTCGGTTAACCGAGCCCAATAACCGAAATACCCGAAATAAATTCGGTCTTTTGATGTTAGGGACCGAACAACTACCCGAATTTTTCGGTCTCGGTCTCGGTCTTTTCGGTTCGGTCTAATTTTGCCCACCCCTACTGAGTTGTATTTTTACGTTTAGGCCCTTCGTAGATCCGGGTATTCTATTAGAAGGTGAGAAAAACCGTGAATTAGGTCTGCGCTCTAAAATGTGGAAGCTGAGGGGTTTTTTCGCAAAACGGCACGCACTAGCCCAAAACCCTAACCGCCGCCGTCTCCGCTTTCCCCTCGCGCCGCCACCTCTGCTTCGCGCCGTCGCCATCGTCGTCCGCATCGTCTCGCGCCTCCGCCGTCGTCGCCGCCGCCTCCGCCGCCGTCGCCGTCTCCGAGCGCCTCCACCTCCTTCTCCCCCCTCGCTTCGCCGTTGTCGCCGAGCGCGGACTTCGAGGCGGACGCGGAGAAAGCGACGAGGCGAACACTCCTCTCCTCTTCCCCTCTCGTCTCTCCTTTGCCTGCGAGGAACTGTGCCTCGCCGCCATCGTCATCGTCGTAACCTGCAGCCGTCGTCGTCAACTGGCCGGTCTAGCCGCTCGCCGCACGTGGTGGCCGATGGTCGCGCCTCCACCAACTTCTTCAGCACGTGGATCCAGTATTGATGTTGGGGAGCTACTACTTTTCCTGCAGTCTTGATGTTTTGATTCATTTGGAGTTTTAGTTTGCTGTGCTTTGATAGTGTATTTTTCTTTTGGTTCGATCAGCATCTTCTGCTCGGTGCCATTCCATTCCCCAAGACCTTCTTCTGTTGAAGGAGCTTGGAGTTTGCGGTGTCGTGAACTGAACAAATCCTACTAGAGGCTGGTTCCCATGTGCCTGTAAGAGGTATACTAGCTGAGTAAATTTTACCCACTTCTAATTAGCTGCTAGCTCATAAATAAACATCAATGGAATTTTGGTGTTCCATTATCACTGATTGACCTATGAACAATTTTTTCGTGTGCTCGGGCACTTAGTGCGGTAAGGTTTTATTAGGGTATGGTATATATCTGCAGGTGCTTCTCAATATATGATTTCATTAGCTAACGTATGTTTTCATGTACTTACATTCCAACATGTTTGGATTCTTCAGAATATGATGGGATGCTGAATGTAATCTTGAAAAGTTGGGCCCATTATTCTTCAGTTACCCTATTTGCAAAAACCCAAAGTGTATAGCAATGTGTACCAGGGATTATTTTTCTATTAATTTTGGGTTATTATGTAATAAAAACATTGTATATTCATGTGAACCAAGAGTCTGTAACGAACCGAAATTTCAACAGAGATGCTCTACGTTGATAATAAAGTGTCCATCTGTAGTAGGATATTTATTACGGAAAAAGGCAATACTAATTACGATGCTATTGATATCCACAAGAGTTGAACTGTAATCTATGATGTCGCTTATCAAATTTTCATAGATTTCCCTCATCTATTTACCGACTGATTGTCGTTTTAGTCCGTGCAGGCGGCGCCCCAGCCTCTAGTCCTATGTAAAGATTTGCCGCCGTACCAGTCTTCTCAGAACTTCAGGGAAAGGCCTTGTCTTCAACTGAAAGTGAACCTCTTAATTCCACCAGAAAAAAAATTGCTGGATGAGAGACGGGTAAGAGATACTAGTACCCCCACAATGATAGGAAGAAAACAAACTAAATGAAGTGATGAGGGGGGCACGACATGGAGGGCCCTAACTATCAACTTCTCCAAACCACACGAGAAGTCGAGAACAGATGCATCAGCCTGCATTGTCTGCACTCCTGAACATATGCGCTTCGTGCGTCCATAAATTTGTCCGCCTCCTCAGGAAGGTGTCCGGAACATGGACGCGTGAAGGGTTCAGTGATTCACTGATTTGGGCTTTGTTCGAATGTGCCTTTAGCTTTAGCTTTTTAATCGTATAAAAAAATATTAGCATATAATTAATTAAGTATATCCTAGCTTCATCCTAAAATATTATGATTCTGTTTAGTTTTCTTGTTCTAAAATACTGTCCAGATTTGTTGATGTAGAATGGGTATAATATGACTCACCCTTCTAGTTTGTAACATTTTATAACGGAGGGAATATTACTCACTACAAATTTAAAAAATAGTTTATTTTTTTAAAAAAATCTATATAAAAGATTTTTTGATAAAAAATATCAGTTTGAAAAGTATACTCGTGATAAACGGGGGAGTTGTAAAAGCAAAATGCGCTGTAGAACACAGCCATACGTACTGATTAGTCCTTTTCATTCAGTACGGTGCGGCGGTGCGGTTCTTCGTGTGATTAGTCCTTTTCATCCAGTATTCGCATGATATTTGCTATTGCTACAGCTTGATTTTTACTATCTGCTCGAGGTCTCGAGGCTATCTCGCGTTTGCATATGATCCACAGATTATCCATCCATCTCTGCGCCTACTTGCCGACGCCGAGATGCGTTTCACGCTTTCATCAGAGGCCACTGTTACTACTTTCCGTCTTTCCGGACTCACACGGTCACACTGCCGCCCCAGCATATTTTTAGAAAATAGGATAAACCCGGTCTCTACATCGGATCGGATGTACACAGCCATTGCCGCCCCAGCATACGGACCGAACCGCCGGGAGGACGCACGCGCGCGCACACGCTGCGGCCGAGGGCCGTGGAATTCTGTCGTGATATCTGTGTGTCGCGATCGCGGTGGTGGGCTGGTGGCGTGTGGGCGAGGCGAGCACACACGCCCGCAGAAAACGAAAGGGGGAAGCAGCCAAAGCCCAAGCGGCACGGCCGGTGTGAAGCTTGCCGCCCCAACCCCACCTCGCGCGCGCGCGGGGGCACGCCGCTTCGCACGCGCTCGCTTCAGTTGCTTTGCTTGCGCCAGGTTGAGAAATTTGCGCATACATGCCGCCGCTTGGCATGCCATGGCATCATCATGCATGCATGTTCTTGCTCGCGGCCAGTTTGCTTACGTACGGTCGCCGGTCGCGTGTGCTCCTTAGCCACCGCGGCGCTATAGCCTTGGCTCATGCAGCTCAGGTCGTCGTCGTCGACGTCGCCGTCTCGTCGAGGAGGAGACCGGTACGAAGGAAAGCAGGAGTACTAATACTAGTTGTTTGGTACGCCGGCGAGTTAATGCTTTTTCTGTTGCTGTTTATTACTGACAGACGACTGTTAATGGTTCAGGTCGCGAGTTCGTTCACTGTCGTTTTGAGTTTTGACGAAGCTTTCTTGACAGCTTCGCCTTCGCGGTCTTTTTCTCTTCCTTCTTTTACCGGCGTCACGTATAATTGCAGGTTGGCTCTTAGTTTAAAATCGTTCGATCTTGCTTTGAAGGTCTGATTGACTGATTCTTCTTTGTTGACTTTGTTTTTATAACCTTTGTCATTTCGTAAGCATTCAGGGTCTGCTGGTTTGCTTGCGCGTGAGTGGCGGGACTCTGCCTGTGTTTCTTGCACGGAATGTTAATGGAAGCGATTTTTTACTGTATGTTGTGCCGACTCCCTCCGTCCAAAAAAAAAAGACAAACCCTAGTTTCCGTGTCTAACGTTTGACTGTCCGTCTTATTTAAAAAAAATATGAAAAAAATTAAAAAGACAAGTCACATATAAAATATTAATCATGTTTTATTATCTAACAACAATGAAAATACGAATTATAAAAAAATTTCATATAAGACGGACAGTCAAAGTTAGAGACGCAAACCAAGGGTTTGCCTTTTTATAGGACGGAGGGAGTATGTGTCTGCTGTTTAGTTCCTGTACACTGGCTTCCACTGATCATGGTTATTTATTTTTATTGGTTTCCCCATTACTGTTGACAGTTGATGCTATCTGAAAAAGAAATTGTTTTATACTCCTCCCATCTCAAAATAAATATATTTATTTTAAGATAGAAGGAGTAATTGTCAACATAATCAATCTAAACCGTTTAATAGATATATTTTATAGTACCACCTCAAATACTTCAACTAATGCTAGGAGAATTTTTTTCTACTAATTATTTAACTCATAAATAAATGGGTGAGATAAATTCTATTTCTTCTACTAGTGATTATATTGGTAGATAAAAACATTACCAAACCTCCTTGCTTCCTTTTCTGACGAAACAAAACCAAGTATACGCTATTTCTCTTTGCCAATCACTTCCCCTTTCTTTTGTGACGTGCTATTCAGTTCTCTTTCTCACCTTCAGTTTCGTTTGGCTCGCTGTTCTTGTCTTTTCAGTTGGAGCAAGAGCAAGAGAGAATCCAGGCTAATTCAGGTGGGTCTTTTTTACATTATCTTTCTGGAATCCTCGATACCACACTGAAGATAAAAGGCAGTGATTTTCTTTGGAGAATCACCCATAAAAATTTCATCTTTTTCTTTGCCCCTATGGATTTCTTGCACTGATCCTTGGCGAGAGAGCGCACTTGTTCATAGCTTCGTTGCTTAGCACAACGGATGTAGAAGAACACAAGTGAGGAGCTCACTAGCTAGCATCATATTCGTGCTAACTCATCCTCGTACTGAAAAAAAAAAGATCTTTTTGTTTCACCGACCCTTCATTCTCTCATTCACATGCCTCCGCTGGAACTCGGACACGGGGGTGAATCTGACGCCGGAAAATTCTTTCCGCCATGAAGCAGGAGAGGCGGAGGAAGCGGCAGCCCGGGCCGCCGCGCCTCGAGCTGGTGGTAGCGCACCCGCGGGAGGAGGAGATGGCCGGGCTCGACGGCGGCGGCGACGCCGAGGAGGGGGCCACGCATGCCCGCGGCGGCGGCGGCGCGCCGCCGCCGTGGCGGGAGCAGCTGACGGCGCGCGGGCTGGTGGCGAGCCTGGCCGTGGGCGCCATGTACAGCGTCATCGTGATGAAGCTGAACCTTACCACGGGCCTCGTCCCCACGCTCAACGTCTCAGCCGCGCTCATCGCCTTCGTCGTCCTCCGCGGCTGGACGCAGGCGCTCGCCCGCCTCGGCTTCGCCGCCCGCCCGTTCACGCGGCAGGAGAACACCGTCGTCCAGACCTGCGCCGTCGCCTGCTACAGCATCGCAGTTGGAGGCCAGGACCACCCCCCATTGCATCCATCCTCCATTCGTCGTCTACCTAGTCTAATGGAGATCCCGACTGATTGGTTCTTTGGATCTTTCTGTGCAGGTGGGTTTGGTTCTTACTTGCTTGGGCTCAACAAGAGGACTTACGAGATGGCGGGCGAGGACACGGAGGGCAACGTGCCGGGGAGCTACAAGGAGCCCGGCATTGCGTGGATGACTGGATTCCTTCTCGCCGTCAGCTTCGTCGGACTTCTCGCTCTCGTCCCTCTTAGGAAGGTCAGTGAGCTTCCACAGCCTTACTCTGTATCTTCGGTAGTTCTGCCATTTGACCAGTTCTGTTCGTGTTTTACTGCTTAGTTTATATGTGTAGATCTAATGATGCGCTCATGCTAGTTTATATCTGCAATGTCTTGATTTATTTATAGAATAAATTAAATCATTATATGCTTATAATTTCAACAGTTCTGCCATTTGACCACGGTTCGCTGTAGCTCCTTACTCCTTAGAACTGCAATTCTACATTTCATAGGCGTTTTTGTCGTTCACCAGTTCACCCTTGTGAGAATTTCACAAAATTGTGGTAAACTGACCATCATCTCCATTTCAGCCTTTTCTATCTTTTGTCCCTTCAACATTTCGTAGGTGTTTTAATTTCATTTCACGATGTCACAGATTACATAAGCTAAAAAAAAGGACAATTATGCCTGTATTTAGCTAGGTGATAGAGTTGAAGTGCAGCTAGTATTTTAACGTATCTGATTGATGGCCTTATGGTCCCTGTTGAATCTGGACTGCTGATTGAATTGTTCTTGTATGGTCTTGTTTAGTTGTTTGAAATTGGCGTGCTGAATGAATCGTTCTGGTATATTAAATAAATTTGTCTCTGTCATGAAACCTCTTTCAGTCTGGCTTTATTAAACCACCTAGTTGGTTATTGGTTAAGACATACCAACATTTTTGCTTAATCGATTGATAGTGATTTGTGCTGAAACAAACAATACCAACTCATTAGCGTGTGGTACTTCTCTAGTCCCCTGAAGAAAATATAGCTATTTTGCTTGTGGTTTGAGTTGTACTTTTATAAATAAAATATATTTTTTTAATTCTGAAAAAAAGCATACTTATTATTTGAATCTTGAGTTGCAGTTGAATTTAATTGAAAGCATAATTTGAAGTCCACATGCAAAGACTTATTATGCGTGATTCTGGACATATTCTCCTTTTCATTTCACAACATATTTATCTTGTGAATACATAAAAAATGAACAGCTGGCAGTGCTTTTCCACATGTAAATGGATGATTTCATTTGTTACCAAACTTAGTAAAATTCCAGATCTTGATAATTTCCATTTGTTTCTTAAACTTGGTAAAATTTCAGGTCATGATAATTGACTACAAATTAACTTACCCAAGTGGGACTGCAACAGCTGTGCTTATAAATGGATTCCACACACCTCATGGGGATGCAATGGCAAAGTATGTGGTTCTCTAACATAACTCATAATGAGTTCTACTATTCATTATAAAATTTCAGTTAACTGAACGTGTTTTTTGGCACATCAGGCAGCAAGTAAATGGATTCACCAAATATTTTGCTATGAGTTTCTTTTGGAGCTTCTTCCAGTGGTTTTACTCTGGTGGAGACAATTGTGGGTTCTCGCAGTTTCCAACTTTTGGACTAAAAGCTTGGCAACAAACGTAACAACAATCACTTAGCTCATTATTCTATTAAATAAATTTTGACCAACAATAGTGTCACCTGATTTGTTCAAAAAACAAGTTCATCTGATTCAAAACTTTTTGGGTTATCAGATTCTTCTTCGATTTCAGTCTCACATATGTTGGGGCAGGGATGATTTGCTCCCACCTTGTTAATCTGTCTCTCCTACTCGGCGCCATTCTCTCATGGGGAGTAATGTGGCCACTGATCAGTGATTTGAAAGGGGATTGGTATTCAGCAGATATACCTGAAAGCAGCATGAAAAGCCTGCAAGGGTACAAGGTTAGTTTCGTCATTTTATTTTGGTAGTGTACAAGTATAGTATGATCTTTTGATTCTTACCACCTCATATATATTCTTTAGGCCTTCATCTGTGTAGCTCTCATCCTAGGTGATGGCCTATACAATTTTGTGAAGATAGTTGCACTCACTATTAAGAATCTGTTTGATAGCTCAAAACTGAAGAATGCAAAGAAGGGTAAATAATCTGACAGAACTCAATATGACCTTTCTAGTTTATATATGATCTGATATAAGGTGTATTCCACTTACAGGGGAAGACATGCCAGTGCTCGATGAACTTCATCGTAATGAAGTTTTTACAACAGACAATATTCCTTCCTGGCTAGCCTTCTCTGGTTATCTTGGATTAACTTTTATTGCAGTAATTGCCATTCCCATGATGTTCCATGAGATGAAGTGGTATTATGTTGTCATAGCATACTTATTGGCGCCTGCCCTTGGTTTCTGCAATGCCTATGGAGCAGGCCTAACTGACATCAATATGGCCTACAATTATGGAAAGATTGCCCTCTTCATTCTTGCAGCCTGGGCTGGGAAAGACTCTGGTGTAGTTGCTGGCCTAGTAGGCTGTGGTTTGGTGAAATCGCTGGTGTCCATATCTGCTGATCTGATGCATGATTTCAAGACGGGACATCTAACATTAACATCACCGAGATCGATGATTATTGCTCAGGCCATTGGAACTGTCATGGGTTGTGTAATTTCACCACTAACTTTCTTCTTGTTCTACAGTGCCTTTGACATTGGCAACCCAGAAGGGTACTGGAAAGCACCATATGCTCTAGTCTACCGAAACATGGCGATTCTTGGTGTTGAGGGCTTCTCTGCTCTGCCCCAGCATTGCTTGCAGCTCTGCTATGGGTTTTTTGGCTTTGCAGTGGCAGCTAACCTTACGAGGGACCTTTGCCCACCGAAGTATGGGAGATGGGTTCCCCTACCGATGGCAATGGGGGTTCCTTTCCTGGTTGGTGCAAGCTTTGCCATCGACATGTGTATCGGGAGCCTGATAGTCTTCACCTGGCATATAATTGACAAAAGCAAAGCAGCACTAATGGTGCCAGCAGTTGCATCTGGTTTGATATGCGGGGATGGTCTTTGGATCTTCCCTGCGTCCTTGCTTGCTTTGGCCAAGATCAGCCCACCAATGTGCATGGCATTTAGGTCTACAAACTAGAGGAGTAGCAGGGATTATAATTACATGGCAGTTCCATCTACTACAGGAAAGATGCAGCAATGCAATAATGAAGTATTATATGGGATTCCTGGAGGTACCTGTGCAGTAAATATTGGAAAGGTACCAAACATTGTTACCATTTCCATGTCAATGAAGTAAGACAACAGATTCAAGATAATTCATCTCATAACAATGGCGTATTTTTATTGCCTCATCTCTTACCAATGTGATTTATGGTTTTAGCCTGTAGGCGCTAATAGAAGAAATTTTGTATAGTAGAGAAATGTTTAGTGTATACATGTATATATTTGGTGATAAGTTGGACCCGAAGACCGAATATTGTAACAGGTCTCTTTCAAGATCAGCTGATCCAATTCTTACTTTGCCAGTTTCCAGCTGATTTCAGCTAATGGTTTCATCTGAAGATATGTTATCTGATGCGTGTGACAGTGAGAGAGTTATCAAATGGTGCACTACATGGATTGATCAATACTGACCAGGTATTGTGAAAGATCTGCCTATCCAAGAAAACCACTGCAATGATTGATTATCAAATTCTCCTACAAAAGCAGCTGCGGCAAAAAAGTTTTGAGTCGTTATCGTTGTGCGGCGTTTCTTTTTCATGAAAAAGTGACCTGCATTTGGTACCATCAATTCAGAGAAATTTGACGAGATCTTTCAAGGATAAGAATCTCTAATTGGCTCTATCTCAAAACGAGAGACTGGTTTGGACACTCCATTGCTAGCCATGGTTGCTTGGTTGACTCTTAAGCGTTTCGCCATAATAGGGTTCTTGAATCCGAAGCAACTCTCCAACTTGTTCATCTGTCCACAGCCAGGCTTACATCACCTAGGGCCATAGGTGAAATGATCAATGAAAACCATAAAACAATCCAGTGGGCATGCTTGGCCAAAGTTTCCTGTGAACCAAAAGGAACTTGCCTTTAAAAAATGAATCTTTGACAGCGAACTGATCAGCCACACTGCTACAGTCACCGCCTCACCGGATTATTTACTTTTCTGCATTACAATCCAGATGATGATGCCTGAAAGGGACAGGGCATCTTGTGGATCGATAGGGAATTTCCGGCCTTCACACGAACAGCTAGGTGTGGATCGACGTCGTTCACTGATGTCTCCTCACTTTTGAGCGCTGAAGATGCCTATACAGTCTGACGATGCGCAGGGTGGTGGTCTTCAGTTTCTGTGCTGAAAACAACAGTATTTCATGGAACCCTCGCGTACTGCCTGATGTCCTGTCAGTTCTGTTTGATTGGTGAAATCGATTGCTTTTCCATCCCGAGGAAAGTGGCTTTGCATGCACGGATTGAACCAGAATTTTCTGAAGAAGCAGATCCTCTGCCGCTGACATGTGGGCCTCACACAATCCCCGTCCAGATTCTGAAGTCCTCTGAACGTAGCCAGAATTCCACTAGTTTTTCCGAACAGACGAACAGTTATAACAGATAGTAGTTCATCGGAACTACTACTATCTACGTGATCGCAACAGATTCGTAGTTCGCGTCAGAATCCAGCACGATTCAAGCCCGCGCGCACGTCCGATCTTGGGAGCCGCGCGTGTGCAGGAATCCGCCGAACACGAGCAGGGCGACGAGAGGTCGAGAGCCCCACCCATGTCCATGTGCCAGACAGCCAGACCCGCCTTCGCCCGTCTGCGTAAGTGCGTAGGCGCTGCCTACCCGCGATGCCCCGACCCACGCTCCCCTTGCGCCCGAGCGAAGCCGGCTGCGTGATCGCGCAGCCCCCTTCGTGACTCCCCCCGTCCCGCATGCGGGGCACGCCGGGGCCACGCGCGCGGCGCACCTAGTCGCGTGTGTTTGGTTGAAGGGATTTGTTGGATTACGTTGGGTTGAATCTATTTTTATATAGATGTTTGGTTGTGATTTTTAGATAATGAAATAAAATTCTGACCTTTGCTAGAGTAACTACAAATTGTTACACAAATTCACACAAACTAAAAACACACACACAAAACAAAGACCTATTGACTATTGAATCTTATTGGTGAATCCACACAAAACAAAGACCCATTGATTATTGAATCCTATTGGTGAACCTCTAAGTAAAGTTGGCAAAAAACTGCATGACTGTTGTCTCAAGTAGTCGACATGTAGATTTTATTAGCTTGATGTCCTCATCACACCTTTATTAGTTTGGTTGTGATACTAGGTGGGATGGGTTGGCTCCAAAAAAGAATATTCCACTGATATTCAGGTTCAACTCACCGATGAAAATCTAGCAAATCGATTCGACATAGCTCTATCGCGCGAGTCACATGAGATGCACATGTGTGGTCACAGTATCTCTCTCTCACCGTTTCTTGTCTCTTCTAGATCGGCGCCCATGCGAGAAGTGGCGGCGACCGTGCGTATGCCCAAGCGACGGCGACGGCGGTAGTGGCAAGAAGCAGCGGCAAGTAAGCCTGCCAGTGGGCTGAGATCCAATTTGAATCCACCCCAGCCCACCTCCTCATGGAATGGCATGCCAAACCAACCCACCCCATTTCCTCTCCTCCAAAATCCAAACCAACCCACCCCGCATCAGATTTCAGTCCAACCCACCCCAAACCATTACACTAAAATGGGTTCAGTCCACTTCACTGGAATGGATTCAATCCATGGATCCCAGCTACACTACAGAGAGCTTGGAGCCAGGAGGCCTCGTTACTTCTTTAGCCATGGATCTCAGCTACAGTATAGAGAGCAGCAGTGTAGACACACGTGCAGACAATTAATTCAAAACAGAAATATTAAAAGAACATCATTGCTTGCTGAAACACTGAAAATTGGGCAAAAACAAGAAAATGAAACAAAAAAAAAATACTCAGAATGATACGCATCGCATTGTTTGTTAGCTGATCCAGCACTGAAATGAATACCAGAAGACTAATGATGTCATATAATTACAATTAAGTCAATTGCTCACTACTACAGCAATAATAAGGGCCATAATAAGGTTTATATCTTCAACAAAAACTACCAAAACATCATCTATGCCTTGATCCATATGCAGTTGTAGATAATCTGGAAGAGAAAGAAGCCATCAGAAATTTATATTTCAGAAATAACATTGAAAGATTACAAGTTGAATATTATTATTTCTATAAGATATGACTAGCATGAGTTAGTGGACACACTAGTAAGAATGAAGAATGAATCCATCCATCCCCACTATTCAACTAAATATCTATACTACTATATACAACCACAAGGACTTTCAAGAAATGGAAAAAAAAAGAGAGGAAGAAAACAAGGTTGAGAGCCCCAAAATTCTGCAGCCAGAATCAACATAGTAGGATACAACATATCATATCAAACAATTTTGCAAGAGAAAGAAAAGATTTTTCTCTATTTCTAACAAGTACTCTACTAACTCTTCCTGAAAAAAAAGTACTCTACTAACTGCTGACCTAATTAGCTCATGGAAGCTCAAATCATGGACTAGAGAACACCCTGAAGCCCTGAACTAATCTGAACCCTTTTGAGTACAAAACAAAACATTTGGCCTGAGCAGCCTCATCAAGAGGAGAAATTGAGCGGATTGATCTGAGCTGAGCACATCAAACAGAAAGAAAAGATTCAGAGACAGAGAGTTAGAGCTGAAGATGTTACCTGGCAGAGGATGACAGAGTCCTGGTTGGGGCCTTTTTTGCCCCTCTGGGAGAAGAGAGAGGCCACCTTCCTTGCTTATCCTTCACATACACAATGCTCTCATCTATCTCCTGAACATGCTCTAGCTGCTCAAATAAGAATATATACAAGTAAGGATACAACTAATAGATATAAAAGGCATTGCAAGGTGTTACAAATTCTGCCTAACATTTCACCAACTGATGAACAAAAAACAACATTAAGTTACTGAGCACAGGGACCCCACCATTGTAAAAAAAAAAACAGCCATCATACCAAACCTTCTTCACAAAACATCATATGGTCAGTACTCAGTACGAACCTAGATCAAAGAAAATTTGGCACAAATATTAGTAATACTGGTGGGCACTCAGACAAATTAATCTAGATTTTGTGACTAATCAAACAATATAAAATGAAAACACATCTACAATTACTATTTGTATGGCACAGACCACAAAGTCTGAGACGAAATACAAGGCGTGAGATATTATACCTTTAATCCCCTTGTTTTTTGGCTCTATGTAGCCAATCTTTTGCACAAACAAGTGCCTCGAGCATCTCTGGTGTCAATGAGCTTCTTGTGTCTCCAAGAATCCTTCCTCCACTGCTGAAAGCGGACTCTGAGGGCACGGTGCTAAGTGGAATTGCAAGAAAGTCTCGAGCCATAATTGCCAACACAGGAAACTTTTTGGAATTTTTCTTCCACCATGCCAAAACATCAAAATCCTCACTATCATCCTCACATACTTCTTCTAAATATGTATCAATCTCTGACTTCTGAGTACGTGCAACCTTCCGGTTTGACTTGAAGAGGATGAATTCATGCTCTAGCTTTCTTTTTCCCAAAACAGGTGAGCCTACAACACTAACTCTCTCACTAGACTGTGACATGTAGGATACACCCCTTCTTCTTGCAATTCCTTCATATACATGAAAGTATGATTTCATCTCCTCTATAATAGAGTCCACTTTACTTTCAACATTAGAACCATGGGGAGACACCTTCTCATAAAAGAAATCCAAATAGTCTCTTTTCCTTCTTGGATCTAACACAGTGGTAATGACAAGTGCCAAATTGAAGTTGTTTGCCAATTTTTCATCCCAATATTTTGCAAACTTGGTGTGCATAGGAGCAGCCAATCATTTTAAAAGATCGCTGGTTTGCCAATCAGGATCACTCAAAGCATGACGGATACAAAGAACATGGGGCAAGAATGTGTGTGCAGTTGGTGTCCTATGAGCTGATACACCTCTAGTAGCCTCTTCAAAAGCCTTAAGAAATTCACAAATTGATTCAGCATGCAACCATTCTTCGTCAGTTGGTAGAAGTTCACAATTTTCAGAGGCATAGCTATTGAGGATAGCCTTGTAAGGCAATATTTCTCTAATCATCTTGAAGGTCGAGTTCCAACGGGTTGGTACATCAAGAGTGAAACCAGATTTTGGAGGAAGACTTTTACTAGAAGCAATTGAATTAAACGCTTGAATGCGTGAGGGTGAATGCTCAATGTACTTTAGGATCTCACGGATCTTATCTATAGCTGCACGAATCACCCTCATCCCATCTTGAACCAACAAATTGAGGATGTGTGCACAACACCTCACATGAAAATGTTTGCCTTCCAAAACCAACTCATCCTTGAGAGTTTTCACTAATTCTTGACAAGCAGCGGTGTTGTTACTAGCATTGTCTAAAGTTAAGGTGAACAGTTTGCTACTCAAGCCCCACTCAGTCAAACACCTCATCATGGTTCTTCAATTGCAAAGCTAGTGTGTGGAT